TTTCTTCATGTTTTGATTTGGAATAGAATGTGCAGTGTTCCCAATGCATTTGTGTGTATGAAAATAAAAGCTATTATAAGGATTTTGAGCTTTACTCACTTTTTTAAACACACTGCTATTATTTTGAACACAACTGTATATTTTGGGGGGTATGGGAGCCGATAAAACAAAACTTAAATGAACTTCAACGCAGAAGAAAATTCTTCATCTTTGTGGAAAGCAAGTGTAATCCAGTCAAGTGTGTAAAATCAGGCATCCCTTCCCCTCTACCTACTTTCACCAAAACCAAATGGATCTAAAGACATTTAAGTCAAGCTGTAGCATCAACATTCTTGTGCTGCACACGGACAAAGACTAGTGTGTCATTATATCACTGTGCATTTATCCTCGTTTCTCATCCCTCTATGCATAATTCCTACGCCTGTCTATATATTCACACATCCATGCATCCATTAATCTGCTCATCCATCAGTTGTGCGCATCTAAGCCATCATGTTTCACATCCATACCTATCTGTCCACTTTCAGGTCCATCCATTCACAGCCTTCACATGCCACTTCTTTATAAATCCATTCATCTAGCCATCCGGCCATATTTCTTCATTCTCCCACACACATCAGTATGGTGGTGACTACTGTGCAATCATCTCTCGCTCTCTCCATCTCTAAAATAATAGATCTCTCATAGTTCCTTGTTCGACAAATGGACATTACAGACATAGTCTATCCAATCACCTGCTCATCCACCAATCTTTCTTTTTTTCACTTTCTCTAACAATTACCTTTGCATCTTGGATGAAACAACAAAGCTCAGGCTTCGTCCTCCGACCCCCATTCTCTTTATTCTTTATGTTTTTCTCTTCGCTCTCCACCAAAAGCCTGTAATTATAGACCTTGCTGCAACACATTGGGGGGTGAGTGTCTATCTGCCTTTTCCTAATCACACATTCATCTCACACTTTCACATCCAGCTCAGTGTGTGGTGGACTCATGCAGAGACTCATAGAAAATAGATGGTCTTCAAATATGTATAGTCCAGCCACCAGTGTGTTTGTGCATGTGTGTGTGTGTGTGTGTGGGCATGCTTGTGTGTGCACGAGTACTATGTGTACAGTCTGACCTGCTCACTTATTATACTGGAAGTACCGCTGTATACCACAGGGCTGTAGTGAAAGTGTGTGTAGCCTGCAGCAGATATTGCTGTTTCCGAGCCATTAGGTCATTTATCTATTAGCACTCTGCTCCAGTGCCACTCTGCTATCGTTAAGAGGCGACAATGCAGGTCATAAGGACCATGGATTACAGATCATCAGCGGCGTCACTGGAGATCGCTTAATATAACAATGTGTTAATTGCCAATATGCTGTGGACAGCAGAGACGAGCATTAATGAATTTCTCCAACTCTGCTGTAGTACAACATACACTCAACCTCTATATGTCTCTCTATGTTTCTCATTCAGTCTTTTATTACTTCCCCTAACGATCTTATATTTCAAACTATACTGTAGAAAGTGTATTTTATCTTATTACAATTTCCATTTTAACTACATTTTTGTACATATCACATTCACAGCTGCTGTCGTCACTGAAACAATGAAATACACGGTAGAACCATTTACATTTCAGCAGGTAAAAAGGGCCCATTAGCACAAATCTTGAATGCAGTTCCAGAGGCAAATGACAAAACAAAAATTTACGAAAGAAAAACATGAGACTGGAATATACTGTGGTATATATATTGAATTACAGGGGCCAATCTTACCAAAAATACATCAGTCCTTAAATAAAGTTTTGCATTTATGGAAGTACACATTCTTTACTATCTCCTGTCAGTGCTGTACAGTGAGTACAACTTTCATTTTGGCTGATTTTGCTAAGACTCTTCTTTACTGTGGTTGCCAATGTTGTTGTAGTTTGAACCATAGTAAATGTTATAGTCAAATGAAAACCTCAAAGCACCGGATGTTAAAACAGAAACAAAGTGATAATGTGTTCTACTCCGCTGTTGCTATTTCACGATGCAAAAACTGAGAGCAGTGAAGACAAAGGCTCTCTCTTTTCACCCTCACTATCAAGCTCTACATAAATTCTCCTCTGGAACAAGTCAAGGGTAGAGATGATGACTTTACCTTAATTTTCTTCAACCCGCGCCCCCCCCCATAACCTCCTGAGACCCATTCAGGCCTCGGTACTGATGTCAGGAAATATCTGGACAAAGGTATTTACAGTATCAGGACCAGAAAAAGTGTATATCAGTGTGTGTAAGAGTGTGATGTGGATGAACCCATACTTGCAAAGAAAAGCTGCCAACAAAAATTAAGGCCTTGGCATATCGAGGGTCTTTTAATAAAAGCATGTGAGTGAAAATGCATGTGTGTGTGTGTGTGTGTGTGTGTGTGTGTGTGTCTGTTGGATGGGTTACAGACTTTATGAGGTAACAGGTTTTACAAGGTCTGGTCCCCACTGCTGAACTTTTCATTGCTGAGTGACGTGTTGCTTGGCTTGCTCTGAAACCTTTCTCTCTCTTTCTTTTTATCTCATTCTCTGCCGACCATGTCTCTCTGCATGCTTTCCTCTTCATCAGTCTCTCTCTCTCTCTCTCTCTCTCTCTCTCTCTCTCATGTCTCTGTTCCTTGGTTCCCCTCCCTCTCTGTCTGGCAGTAAAGGCTGATGAAGTGTGAAATTAGAAAGTGTATCATATTCTGCTCTGTGGCTCCATGTCCTGAGCTATAAGCTACAGCTAGTCAGAGTGAAAAATAACATGCAGTGAAACAGATACATTATCATGCTGTGAGTGTGTGTGTATACACGTGCATGCGTATGAGGTTGGAAGGAAGGAAGAGGACAGTTTAGCCAACTACCGCTTATCTTAAATAACTTATCTCACGGCTGATACACTTGTGCTTTTTCACAAACTCCAGGAGCAGGCATGGATTAAAAAATGTGTTCCTTTTAAAAAATTCATCCTCCTTGGGAACTGGCCAAAACAGCCATATTTTGTGTTTCACTGCTCATCGATCTCACAGTATATTCTGTGGATTCATGTTTCTTTTGAAAAATAAAAATAAAAATCAGGCAGTATCAACATTTATTTTCTAAACAAGTTACTCATAACATATTGACTTTCATTCTTATAGAAGCCTTTAATTGGAGGATCAGTTAATTAATTTGCAGTGGAATCAAACTGCACTGAATAGATTGTATCTTTTGTATCTTTACAAAATGATCTTTCATCTTTGGATTTGATCATGTACTCTGTGTATAGATACATACTGGATGGTCTGAAAGAGATGTATCAACTCATCTTTATTGAATAAATGTGAAGGATAGCCATAAAAATTACCCCATTGTTGTGTGTTTAAAAAGTGTTTTTATTCAATGTACCTGTATTCTTCTTTCTTTTCTTCTTCCCTGTCATAGACTTACATGTATGTAATAACCCTCCTTATTTTAATCTATTTTTGATATCTAATTATCGGTGTGTAATCAAGTTTAAACTGTTGACACGCGTATATTTGGCTCGTCTGTGTATTTAACTACCATGTATCTGTATGCAGGTGAACAAGCGTGTGTGGGTATGTATAGGTGTGTGCGTGTGTGTGTGTGTACGTGTGTGGGTGTGTATACCTGCACCAGGCCAGACACCTCTCCTTTCTGTAGTGGTGCTGCGATGGAGGGGGTGAACAGCTTACTGTCATCTACTGGCCGGCCTCTCAGGAAGTGTTTTCCTGCCTCGTAGATGTCCACCTCAACCATCTTCCCTTTGAACTCATCCCTCTTAGGAACCAGCACCTGCAAACCACGAGCAACATATCACACATGATGTCACAGCAAATAAAAAAATTCTCATTAATAAAAATTAAAAAGCACAATGGAAAATGTGAATACTACAGGGAGGGGGTTGTGGGAATTATGAGGTAAAGGACAAAAGCAAAGTGTCGTTCATGAACAAAGCAAAAAGGATGTGGCCACGTGTCTTAGACAACCTTTGAATGTGGTCTGAGTGATCGGATCTCAGATGCATCCTCTTAAGGTGCATTGACACCCGTACTTAGCTCTGTCCATTTGTGATTGATCACTAGGGACAGGTTAATGTCGGGTCTGAACAGGGTCTCAGTGGCTGCACTTTAGTTACTCCAACAAGTTGGCAATCACACGTCAATCACCCTCGGCATGTTTCCTGTCAATTACATTTTCAATTAACCACTGCTCTGGACTCTTTTCTCCAAAGCTCCCCCACATTGTTTTTCAGCCAGTCTGCATGTGTTTGAAAAACCCAGGGCTGAGTGTTTTCAGTTCCATTTATGGAAGCCCTGAGGTTCAAAAACTATGGAAACAGCTGTGAGATAAACCAGTGGGATTTTCTGGTTTGTCTTATTATTTCACCATGGCAACTATAAATCTCAGCTGATCACAGCGGGAGGAAAGAGAAAACAAAGAGTTATAATTACGGCTTGGTGTGAAATAGAATTTGTTCTTAATGACATACCCTTGTAAATAAAGATCATATGCAAATGATTTTTCCTTTCAAAACCGTTTTCAAACTAAACACAAAACTGACAAACTTTTTTTTCTGACTTACTCCTTTTCTTTAGTGCTTGCTTTAAGTCAGTCATGGTGAACACTAATAGACTGATTGGTGTTGTGATTATTGGTGGGAATTCAAACTGCAGTTATGAGAGCTTGTGCAAATTATGACAACAACTACAATGTAGGTTTTCTTGGTAAACATCACATGATTTATTCTATATCCCAAATGAAAGGGAAAAAACCTCCATGTACATGAGTAACCCCTGTAGGATTTCGAAAATGATGTTATCCTTCCTGAAAAACACAGCTGAGCCTTTATATTATACTATATGACTGCAGTGATCATTTCCTATAGAATTAAGATATTAGATTATTATACAATTCTAAAGACAAGTGTGTAATAATTTAATAATAATGTCATAATTGACTGTTCTCTGTGGGTAAATTCTCTTCTCCTCTTTCCATGGGAAGATCGGGGATTAGGCAACACTAGACAGCCACGACCCCCAGCGCCCCTGGATGAGCTGAGGATTCAATATCCCGGCCTGGTGCACCTCTTCAGACTGCATGCTAACTCAGATCATCTGGTGGTCTGTCTAACCATTACAGGACTCTGCAGGGCTAAGCTACTGACTCGGCAGAGAGTAGCGTGTGAGCTGGCGGAGGGAGTGTTACTGCTGTGATGGCAGGACTACACCTGGTTCAGTGTTAATCTGTCAGTCTCTATCCAGCTGCTGGAATATGATAGGAGACGGAGAGCGGGCCAGACACACACACAGCCAGCGCCACACCTGCCTAATCAACACACCTGCTGCTCGACACTCTGGCCACTGCGAGGTTGTGTGTGTGAGAGAATGAGTGTGTAAGTAGCGAGCAAGCTGGGAGCAGAGAGGTAAAACAGCAGGGCTGTGAGGGAGTTGGGTGAGCGTGTAGGTGAGGGTCATTCGAGGCCCATTACAGGGTGATTAAATGATGAAAGACCCTGTCTGATTTCATTGGAAACTCCCCTCCTACTTCCTCACTTAGCCCCCCCCACCCCAACGCACGTACGCACGCAGGTGGGTTGGGTGCCTATTATACCTGTCAGAATAGATATCCATCTGGTGGTGTAAAAGTGAAACTAGGCCATTTGTTCACACTCTCTACCTCATTCCTCGCTTTCCTCCCTCCACCCCCCTCTGTCCTTTTCTTTGCTCCCACTACTCTTTCCACTTCTTTCCTGACCCTTGACTTTCCTATTTTTTTTCTCTCCTTCAACTCAACGCCCCGACACCCACCCACACCATCCGCTCCACCAAACTGAACTGCTCGACGTTTTGCCTTCTCTCTCTACTTTGTCCTGTTTCAATCGAACACACTTAACCTATTGCATGTAACTGATGCTTTTATCTTGAGTGATGTGTGGTGATGCTTTACATTTTACACATAATTATGTTATTGGGTTCTTTGGAAAGCAATGTACATTTGTATGGTGGAGATAAAAGCCAGAAAAGAAACAACAGGAGGTTGTCAAAATACAACTTAAAAGTCAGGCCTCTGTAAAGTATTATGTATACAACCACAGCTGTATGTACTGTGTATGTCTCACCTATGGGTGTAGATATATGGTATTAATGATATAGGAACATATGCCTTCGGGGGTGGACTGGAGAGGATATTGGTACATAGTGTTTTCTGGTTCTTTTTAATGGTGATTTAGGACGACATGTCTAATACTTAATGGGGAAGGGGAAACACCACACACGTAAACTCTTCGCAAGTTCAATCAGCCGACATAGACGACATGCAAGCCCAAATGTGCACATGTATGTGCACTGGTATGACACATGAACTGGGTGACACTTGTAACTTGAGTTTATAGCCTGCAGAAGGAGGTGCACAGGAGGAGGAGAAGAGGGGAGGAGAGGAAAGTGGAAGGGAGGAAAAATTATTACCATCCCGTGCCCTCCCCGCTAATAAAAAGCATAACTTCAAACATGTTTTTGATGATGGTTAAAGCAGGAGGAAATTGATTTATTTGAAGATGTTTTAAAGTGAATTTTTCACAGGTTGAGAGAGGGTCTTTGAAGCCATGCATGTGTGTGTCTGTGTGTGCATGTGTGTATGTAGGATGGAATGTTCATGTCTTTAGGGCTGACCTTAATGTTAGTACGTTTAAAAAAAGCAAAACGCACTGCCGCTATCAGCCGCCAAATGCTCTCATGAACACCGCAGGTTGTGTGTGTGTGTGTGTGTATTTGTTAGTATGTGTGATATTACTGCTAACCTACTTTAGTCAATACAAGCTTAAGCTTCTGACACCTGCTGTGAGTACTCCTGTGACATGCAAAGCAAAGCTTCTGGTCTGATTAAGTAAGTGTGAAAATGAGGAAGAGTTGGATCAGCTTCACAAACGAAAAAATATTCATCGAATGCAGAATAATTAACAGCTTTTTTTACTGGATGTTAGATGGAGTGTGTGGGCCAACTAAACTATTTAAGGATTCAACCAATGCATGTGTGTCAACAAACATTTGTAATATATACATTTTGTACCAGTGAAAATGTGAAAATTAAATTGTGACCAACAAATATGTGTGGTATATATGAAAAAATAGGTATTTAATCCCCAAAAGTGAAACATGGCTGATATCTTTGTCTTTTACACCATATTTTGTCCATAAAATGTGTCAAAAATAAACCTGTCATGCTGTATGATATGTAATATTTTTCATATGTGAAGCAAGTTTCTGAGTGTTATTCTAGTTTTGAATGTGTTGAGGCAAACATGTTGTATGGATTAGCTGTAAATAAGTGATACATTCATGTCATTTGACAAACATCTTACCTGTTCATAGAACTTGTTGTGAGCCACCCAATATTGGGCATCAAATGATTCCTCTGTCACCAACACATGTTGCCTCTCTCCAACCTACAGAGAGTAAAAGGAGAGAGAAAAAGAAAACCAATGTCTATTTGCTCTGACAATAAATATATATGCAATTATTGGCTACTGTTCTACCACTCATACACAGACCATGTTCTTAAGAGGCCTGTGTGTTATCTTCGGTTTTAATACAACACAATGGAGTTGCCTCAAGTAATGCTTCTATTCATCAAGATCCCAATTCAATCAAAGTTTTGCATGTTTTTCCCCATGTTTTCTGTTAGTACAGTTCACCATTTAATTGCAATCTCAAGGTTCCCAAGCCACTTCACTTTTAACGCGTTGCCAAAAGAGGATAGTGAACACTAATTCAACCAAGTTCCTTACAAAAAAGAAACCTGAATGAAAAGATGGAGAAAAAAATACAAGGCTATACAGGACACAATTCAAATGCTTACAGAAAACAGGCTATTCAGGACATCAGAAAATCACATGCCACAACAAGGCCTCCCAATGAAGACATTTGAGAATGTAGCATAATGGCTGAAAGTTGATTTTGTGTTGAAGAATATTGTCGACTCAAAGAAGGAGAAAAAAAGAGGAAATGGGAACTTAGTTGAAGTTACTGCGAGCATGAACAAAATCACTTTAGACTTGACTTGGTGAGAGAAAGAGATATATTTTAAATGGTTTGATAAATAGTTTGTATTTATATAGAGCTTTTCTTTTCTTGATGACCACTCAAAGCACTTTACAGTACAGTTTGCCATTCACCCATTCACGCACATTCATACAGTGCATCTATTAGCAGCACTTTATTTTGTTCTATGAGGGGTTCGGCATCTTGCCCAAGGACACTTTGGCATGCAGATGGGAAGACTGGGGATTGAACTGCTGACCCTCTGGTTGAAGGACAACCGGTCCACACCTCAACCCCTCAGCCATTTTATCACTTGTTCCCCAAGGACCGGTATTGAGACATTCAGTTTGGGCGAATATACATGTGTGGAGCCTTACTCATGTCATTCTATGGTTTTGTGAATGGAAACAGATAATACTTTTTTGACAATCTCGTTTTGTGTCCTGAATGATATAAAGTTCATCATTCACCCTAATACTGTACAATGCTCATTACGCACATTCATGTCAGCTGATAACAGTGATGAGATACTTTTCATTTATTTTACCATTAAAAACATGCAAACATTCTTCTAATGTAATAACCCACCATAGAGCTGCAGAGTATGAACCACCTGGGTTTTGAATATCAGCACCATGCAGTTGAAAAGGTTGGGAACAGAGTGTCCTGTAGGCTCAATGAGCGGTATTTGCATTTTAACTCTGTCAGTGATGAGCCCTGCACTGTAAAACCGTGCTGACTGCTCATTTCCTTGGCAATATGTCAGAGCCTTAGAAGTCATGGCTCTGACACATTGCTCAGGGTGCTTCCATTTTTGCAGACACCCATCTCCTGTGCTCTTTTTCTTCCCTCCTTCATGTCCTTATCCTTCTGCCTCCACCCCTTTCTCCTATCTCTAGGCTCTTTGTTGTTTCTACCTCTCCTTCCTTTCACTATAATTCCCTCTCATCCTCCTCTCTTTTCTTTCCCCTTCTTTAACTACTGATTTTACTGTGCATGTGTGTTCGAACACCTGCACAGGCATGCTGACAGACTTAAAACAAGACCAAATAAATCACTGTTTCCTGCAAACAGAGCAATTTTCAGAAAAAGAGGCTGGAAAAAAATATTCTTTGAACATTATTATTGGATGGTGAACATTTTATTTGGGGCTTTTGGTTGCTCCTTTGGACTGAAGACAGATGTCCCGGCTGTAAGCCACAAATCCTGCACATGAGACATTTTAACAGTGTTGGACATATAAGAAAACTAGTGAACATGCCTGTTTGGGATGGGCTGTTTGCTTGACCTGTGGTGATGCTGGTTGAAGCTTTCTTTCTGAAACTGTAAAAGTGACCTTCACTAATTGAGCCGCAGCGAGTAAAGACAGAACCCTGAAGCTGCAGCACTGCTGCTGCACATAGAGCTGTTCACTTGTTTATTCAAAGTTCAGTGAAGCTCAAGTCAGTACACAGACCCCTGAACAATAAATATGCCAAGTATGAATTCTATAAGATCAAGGGTTGGTGAGAAATGCATAAAGACACAGATTTCTGGAATTATTAAAGTGTATCACTGTTTGTCTTATATAAATACTTTGAGTACAAGAGATCTGATTTAACAACATAGTATAATTCTGTTTAAATACTGATCAATGATCATTTGTTTTGCCTATTGTGGCAACAACCAGAGACGAACCACTCACTTTTCATCATTCTTACCTTATCTAACCCTAACCCAAACATTAACTCACAAACATCTTAACTTCAAGTGGCCAGCAATTTCTATTGGCCTCCAGCTTTTCAGCTCAGCTCTGTCTTGAATGTTTGTCCCCCTAGCAGCACAGTTGCTGCCTTTTTGGAATCCAGGGAGAGTTGATTGGCCATCTAGTCTCAGTGATACCAATCACCTCTCCCTGGTTCACCTGGTGGTGCACCTCCATGCCCACACCTGTGTATTATAAATTGTTCTACTTGTTATCAGACAGTATTATTTTGGAAGGAAAGGGTTACTCCACAGCAGTTTCGAACAGCAGCCATACTTTCACAAGCCCGTGGAAGTTTTAACTTAATTTTCAGTCTTGCACTTTGATGGAGAGAAACCTCAGTGTGTATGTGAATTTGTATGGATCTGCCAGCCTTAATAATAGATAATCCACACCCAAACATCCAGTGTGGAGCAATGATGTAGGATTAAGGTATATCCAAATATGTTGATTGAACTGTAAATTAGAGGATGATCATGCTTGAACGCACAGCGGCATAGACAATAACTCATATGAACTTGTATTGGAAATCATTGGTCAGATCTGAAGTCTGTGTTTGTGTGTGTTGTTTTGTAATAAATGTGTTGGTTTTTGCTTGTGTAGCTGCTTGTCTTTCATGTAAGATTTTGTGTTTATATTTGTATTTACCCCATCTGTCAGAAATAATCATCACAGAATACCAAATGATGCATGTGTGTGCTCCTCTTTGCAAATTGAGATGTGTATTTACTTCACCATCAGAGAATAACATCCCATGATGCACAGCAGATCCACTACAGATCTGTGGGATCATGAGTTTAATTGATAATTAATCCACTTCATAACAAGGATAATGAGAGACTTGTGGCTGTGAATTGTTATTACCGTTTTTAATCCGTGTCACAAATACAGGAGCATTTCACCTCAACAACATCCCAAATATCTTTGCTGCATCTGCTGCCTGTTTATCTTAGAGCTGGATCATATCAAACTGCTGCATGGGACTGATTATAGACTATTCAAATTATAGTCAAGGGAAAGAAACCACAAATAAATACCAGATATTATACGCCAGGGTGATAATGTTGAACAATGCAGTATGGGTAATATTTAACTTTCAATGTCATTTACCACAACTGACATTTATGATATAAACCTATCATATGCCAAACCCACACAGCTGGTGCCTAGGGCAATACATCTGTTCCTAACAAAGTGCTTGGGAGTGTAAACTTGGATCTCATTGGTTCTTTGTGTTCTAATCCCAAATTCATTAAATAGTTGGCATCCTGACTTAGAACAAATCAGCAAAAAGCCCAACTTAAATCAGCATTCAACAGTATAAACATGAGTTTATTACACACAATATTAGATTTGTATAAAGATATGTTTATGAATGAATTTGTCGATAACTATGTTACTATGTAACAAAATTAAATAACAATCAAGAACTATGTTCAAGGGAAGCCAAACCTTCCCGTCTTGCATAAGGCATAGCATCTGATGGGCACTGCCCGCACACAGCAGCCACCACCAAACCGCTGCTTCACTTCTGAGGTCAATGAAAGGGTTAATTTAATGTGAAAGTAATTCAATAAAAAGAAGAAAAGACAATGTTCAATAATATAAAGTATGTGCTCATATGAGAAGTTAGAATTGCTGCAAAAATACTTTGCTTAAAATGTTTCTTAAACTTGTGTACAATTAGATCTGACTGGTTGATAGCAATTATTAGGTGTTTTAATACTGATTAATAAATGCTGCAGTGGAGTGACTATATTAGCAAATGTACTTAAAATGCTTTTATTTGTGTGACTGCTTTCTACAGGTGGAGCCGTTTCTTTCAGAACAAACCAGTTTACAACTTTTCATCATTTGTGCAATTCACCACAGTGTTTGAACAACAAACAGCCATGTCTAAGCTCAACCCCCCACTGTTCCAGCAGAGGCTCGCAGGCTTATGCAATAATAAAGCTTTTCCCACTCTCCATACATTTATGCATCACTCAATCTTATTCTGACCCACTGTTTTTTTTATTCTTAGGCTATCTCTTGAAATGATTACCCACCCCTATCATGCAAACTCTGTATTGCCTAAACTCACAAATCCAGTGTTACACCCAAACCCGCACACACAGTTTTCTGTAGCCCCTTGTAGAAAGAGATTTTGTTTTGTTACCAGCTCAATAATCATTGTGGGGAGTGATTTAACAGGGCTAAAGAGAGACGCTCTGATCTTTCAGAGGTTCTCTTTGAATAAGCTGCTTGAAAGAGGAACAAAAACCACCCCTGCTGATTTGGGTATTTTCTTTTACCCTCAAAGTCAAATTCAAAGTAAAAGAGACTCAAACTTTTCAGTGTTTGCCACAAAGACTGACAGGATTACGGGTAGCTTTGGTTAAATGTTTGTGGGGACAAATGTAAAATCAAGTCGTGAAGGTTATCTAAATGAAGTGTTTGGAACAAGGCCAGAGCATAAATAATTTACACAGTAAAAATACAGGCACCATGAGAACAAAGACGGAGTGAAGTAGTTATGTGGGTTGATAGGAGCGATTGACAGAATAAAGGAAGGTTGAAAGAAAAACATTTGTGCAAATAATAAAGCGGCAAGCCTTTAAAAAGTTTTCAAATCATTGCCCTGTACAAAGGTCAATCCAGGGGGATCACTTCACCTACAAG